GATGATGATGATGACGATGATGGTGGTGGTGGTGATGATGGTGATGATGGTGATGGTGGTGATGGTGATGATGATGATGATTCTAACAGAAAGCATACTCCGTAGGTAATTTACCTATGGATTAGCTACGAAATATGCTTTCCGTTAGAATTCCGTAGCTAATCCGTAGCTAATTAGCTACAGATTTTTCTTATTTTTGATTTTTCTGTTACTAAACGTCATTTTTTTCGCTCCGTTTTTTTCACTCTTCTATTATACATGATTATCTATATTTTCACAAAATTATAGCTATTAATATCATTTATAAAGTCGTGTGCACATACGGGATCCATTGCTCGTTTAGTGGTTTAACACTATAATGCTTATGTATACGTTCACATACATCTCACAAACACGTATACATACACATATACACGTACACATATACCACAACTCATTCATGTATATAAATATACATATACAAACATAATTCATCACAAATTGGTGAAAAGTATAGGCATTACAATGTTAAACTGTGAAACGAGTACTTGATCCCGAAGGGACACACAACTGTATGAACGATATTAATATCTATAAGTTAATGAAAATATAAATAATCATGTATAGTAGAGGTGTGAAAAAAACGAAGCAAAAAAAACGACGTTTGGTGCCCGAAAAATCGAAAATAAGAAAATTTTGTAGCTAATCCGTAGCTAATTAGCTACGGAATTTTCTTATTTTTAATTTTTCGGGCACCAAACTTCATTTTTTTTGCTCCGTTTTTTTCACACCTCTATTATACATGATTATCTATATTTTCACCAACTTATAGCTATTAATAATATTCATAAAGTTGTGTGCACATACATGATCCATTACTCGTTTAGTGGTTTAACACTATAATGCTTATGAATACGTACACATACATCTCACAACCACGTATACATACACATATACACGTACACATATACCACAACTCATTCATGTATATAAATATACATATACAAACATAATACATCACAAGTTGGTGAAAAGCATAGGCATTACAATGTTAAACTGTGAAACGAGTACTTGATCCCGAAGGGGCACACAACTTTATGAACGATATTAATATCTATAAGTTGGTGAAAATATAAATAATCATGTATAGTAGAGGTGTGAAAAAAACGAAACAAAAAAAACGACGTTTCGTGCCCGAAAAATTGAAAATAAGAAAAATCCGTAGCTAATCCGTAGCTAATTAGCTACGGATTAGCTACGGAATTTTCTTATTTTTAATTTTTCGGGCACTAAACTTCGTTTTTTTCACACACTCTATTATACATGATTATCTATATTTTCACCAACTTATAGCTATTAATATCATTCATAAAGTTGTGTGCACATACGTGATCCATTACTCGTTTAGTAGTTTAACACTATAATGTTTATGAATACGTTCACATACATCTCATAACCACGTATACATACACATATACACTTACACATATACCACAACTCATTCATGTATATAAATATACATATACAAACATAATCCATTACAAGTTGATGAAAAGTATAGGCATTACAATGTTAAACTGTGAAACGAGTACTTGATCCTGAAGGGGCACACGACTTTATGAACGATATTAATAGCTACAAGTTGATGAATATATAGATAATCATGTATAGTAGAGGTGTAAAAAAACGAAGCAAAAAAAACGATGTTTGGTGCCCGAAAAATCGAAAATAAGAAAAATCTATAGCTAATTCGTAGCTAGTCCATAGCTACTTAGCTACGGATTAGCTACGGAATTCTAACGGAAAGCAAACTCCGTAGCTAATCCGTAGGTAAATAGTATCCGTAGGTATTCCGTAGCTATTCCGTAGCTAATTAGCTACGGAATAGCTACGGATTTACATATGTAGCTATTCTGTAGCTATTTCGTAGCTAATTAGCTACGGAATAGGTACGGACTAGCATCCGTAGCTATTCCGTAGCTATTCTGTAGCTATTCCGTTACTAAACTAGGGCATCCCATTCTGTAGCTGATCCGTAGCGATTCTGTAGCTAATTAGCTACGGAAATTTTCTGTAGCTATCTTCCGTAGGAAAACCTCATGTTTTCTAGTAGTGTTTGTTGAAATTTTGTTGGAATCTTTTTTTGTTGCAAGTTTGTCGGAAATTAGACGAAAATTACCTAGAAAATATTTTCGTCGGTAATTTCCGTAGCTAAAAGCAAATATTCTAGTAGTGTTGATGCCAATGAACTTTATCTAGAGTTAAATCTGGTTGACGAGTTGTTTCCAACATATTTCCTACAAAAAGGTAAATTTAAGTATTAATTAACAGTCCGTTTGTTTTCTGTAGGAAATTTCCAACGTTTTTCTGACGGAATTTTTGTTGTTTTTGTATATGTCACTATTTTGTTGAAAAAATTTTTTGTTGCAAGTTTGTCGGAAATTAGACCAAAATTACCTACAAAATATTTTTGTCGGTAATTTCCGTAGCTTAAAGCAAATATTCTAGTAGTGTTGATGCCATTGAACTTTATCTCGAGTTAAATCTTGTTGACGAGTTCGTGTCGAATGAAACTAATAACCCACATATGTTTTAAAATATATGAAAAAAATCAGTTATTTTACTAATGCAATTAATGTATATAAAGTCTCGCTGGCTATTCTAATAACCATTGCCTAGAAACAAGTTTCTCAAATTTCAAGTTGTTAAATTCCTATTACTAGTTTACAATTTCATAAGGAATACTTAATATCTTGGAAATGATATCTATGCCCCTTAGCTCGCTTGTATCGGATCAAGGGGGAGCTTACTTCACTTGTTTTCTTGAAGTACAATATATTTCCGAATATTTATATAAGAGTTGATGTACAACTTTTTTTCTAATAATTATGGACTTATTATAGTATTAATGAAAATTGTTTATACATAAAAAGAAATTATATTTAGGGGCCAATTTTATTTTTGGTAGAGCTGTGTCCACCTTCTAAAATTCCCCATATATTTTCTCAGCTTTTCCAAAAAGAGACTCTAACCAAAGGATGTTTTTTCCATAGCAAAACGATTTGATTCTTACCGTCTCCTTCAACTTTAACTTGATGCATACCATCACCTTCTCTTATCATTAGTTTGCTTTCAAGGATGATCTCCTCCTTCACTTCCCAAGCCTGAAATACAGGTTCCCATTGAAACTCTTTTTGAAACTGCCACTTCTGCATCCATGTATTCAAAGAGACAAAAGGAGCAACAAAAAGACACTCCATTGCTGTTTTTGCTGCGTCAAGATTCTTTGAGAAGGTGTGATCCATTGATTCTAAAATAGCTTGGTAGTGCGAAATATTGTTTTCGAAGAAAGAACACAAACCCTCTTGATTTTCGTAACTTTCATCACATGCATCCCCATCGCCAAAAGTTATGACAACTTTGTGACTATCACACGCAAATTGTTCAGCCACCTCCATAAACTCCATAACATCTTTCTTATTTCTCCCCTTCATCATGTGTGGAAGGTTTACCATGCAATTAAATACACAAACACCTCTTTTAGCAATACATTTTTTCTTCATTTTCTTGATGTTACATAGTTCTATGTCTTCCACTGTCAATTTGAGATCAAAAGCTCTTGCATGGTCGTAGAGCTGGTTTTTCATCTCCTCAAATGAAAAATATTTAGAAGGATCTTCTCTCCAAGATTCTACATTACTCCATCTTATAGATATTATTCTCAGTTCCTTGTGTTGAAGCTCAGAAGCCATCAACAACGATGACCATTGCACCCCATTTCCTATATCAAAGTCGAATATGAGAATAGAGTCTGCTTTTTGACGTATTGCATTGAGGATCACTGAGTTGGCTGCGAAGTGAGCAAACACCCCATATGGGAATAAGTGATAGAATGCTCTGAAGCACACACAAAAGCTCTTCATGCACTCTTGTTTCAAGTAGTCCAATTGCTTGTGGTGGGTTTGAAATAAATAATATAGTAAGCGCTCAGTGATATCCCCAGTAGGGTTTGCTTTCTGGATAAGACGCTTGCGAATGGCATCAGCAAGCACTATGAGCTCCTTCTCCATGGCTTCGCAGTAAGCCATCAATAAGTGAAGATCAAGAACTTCACTATCAGTCTCCATGCGTTGTGAAGGCAATATCATTGATGGTTGAAGAGTTATCAAGTCCAGTGAGGCGTCAATCTCTTTAGAAGACTGGTTGAGGTTCCATTCTTTTTGAGACGTGTATGATTGAGAAGGAACATCTTCTTCACTGTTTATTAATAAACACAAGTCAGCGATCTCATCGTTTGAAATGTTTTCTAACCCCTCAAAATCTAGGAAAGGATCGTCTATCTCTAAACGCGCAGGCACTTGGTCCGTGTGATTTTCGAACAACGTGGGTGACCTGTTAAGCAGCATGTTAACAAGGTATTGGATTGAGAGGATTAATCATATTGTTAAGGTTATGGATCAGTATTTATAAATGAAAATTGATTCATTTACATGGAAATTCCCGATTGAGGTTATCGGTTCATTTACTAGGAAGTTCTCAAATCAGGTGACCTAATTCCATGCATTCTAGGTAAAGATGACGCATATTCTAGACATATTCCGGACATTCCAAAATCAGGTGACCTTATCCCTTGCATTCGGGTATATGTAAGATGACATATATTCTAGTAACGTATTTGATAAATAGACTCAGGCGGTGCTTTTGAAAGACGTAAATTACAAAGGTATTAATACTCATACCCCCCTGTTACCATTATTGCATATTCAAAAATGTCTTGCCGAAGACGACATTTCTTGAGGATATGCTGTGGAGTCTTCATAGATAACTCACTAAAGGCCAATAGTAGGATCTATAATTGAAACCAACGAAAACATATCATTTCCATCCAAATGAAAGATGCCGTGTTCAAAGAGTCAAATTAACCTTCACTACCCAACAACATTATGACATCATATATATATATATATATATATATATATATATATATATATATATATATATGAGAGAGAGAGAGAGCTAGGTTCAAAAGTGGATTGACATCTATTGTGCGGACGTGTAGACAGTGTTATTCTGTGAGAATGACAAACAAAATATGTTGTTTGATAATGTTAATACGTTCAATCTTACATAACTATTGTCATTATCACGCATTCTCACCAATTAAATCGTCTATAAGATTATTATAGACTTTTTTTATTATTATTCACATTCTGTCAGAATGTTGTCAGGATGTTTATTGAGTCGTATTCTGTAAGAATGAAAATGAGTGAAAAACGATGCGTGAGAACAAAAATGAATAAGAATTAGTGAGAATGAATGGAAATGGCAATAATTGTGTGAGGTTGAAGGTATTCACATTACTAAACAACTTATTTGTTTAGTAATTCTCATAGAATAGCACTGTCCACACGTTCGCACAATAGTTGTTCATCCACATTATAACCT